AGAGATTCGATAGCATGTGCCCCCATCAGCCGTAATGTATGCTCGCGTTCTCACATGTTATCGACCAAAAAAATTCACACTATCTTTTCCTCAGAGATTATCTTATTTACCTTATTGTTGGGCAATAGAATTTGTTATCTCTATGAATGTCAGTCGTATGAAAGATGAGAAATCTTAGTTCTTATCTTGTCAGGATTTTAACTTATGAAGGAAGAGAGCTTTCACTCCTACGAGGGCCTTCGCGGCTTGTTCCCATCTTGTGGAGTGAGTTTTATGGATGCGTTCTTTATTTTAAAGTATCAGTGCCTGCACGCCTCGCACTCTCCTTTATCTTCGTCTTTCCCAAAGAGAGGAAATACCCTATGAAAATTTTACATCTCAGTGATCTTGAGATCCGGACGAAGATTGAGAGGAAATCTTTTAAAGACACGCTTAAGTCTGAGAAACCCCAGTTTTTATCATGTCAGGAGTTTTGACTCATGGATGTGCGAGCTCAGTCTTGAGCAACTTATGCTCCTCTCTCCCCCCCCAAAGAACCGAACAGAACTACATAATTCTTTGCTTGATGACATTTCTTACATGTCAATCCGGATTTTCATGTTGTAGATCCATGAAAAAGCTTCAACCCCATTTTCTTACTTTGTCAGTTTTGATAGGTTATGCTGGTCCACAACAATTACTATTGCCAGCAATAATATTGGTACTATGATGGTACACGCACTGTGATATTTGATGTTGACGATGCGTACGTAGCCACGGACATCAGTACACCGATTCAATTTGGTGTCTGCTAAAGTTCATTCTTTCTCGTATCCAGCAGATATTGCATGGCAAGTTAGATTAGATCCGAGACCCACTTTGCCCTAGTTTGAACCTTGAGGTCGACAATGCACATGCTCAAGAAAAATCAGACAGATATTAATCAAGCGCTCGCTGCTTAATAACGAAGCAATATTCTCTCTGTCGCTCTCCAGGCTATATGTATTCTATATATGTGGGTCAATGGTAGGTAAGGGAGTATCTTCGATTACTCTAAATATGGTATGTCTCAATTAATCAATTCGACAAATTGAGGGCAACGTGATCTTCTTTATCTCCTTTTGTGGAAAGTAGAATCTACTCGAGAGAAATAAACAACACATATGTACCAGCCTTTTGTACATCGAAAGCAGCGCTCGGCCTCGTTGAATATATAAACCCTAATCATATGTATAATAGCACAATGAAAACCCCAGCAAGTTGGCTGCTCTTGAAAGAATATTAAAATACCAACAATTTTAGCCAATGATACAGATATACAGTTGATCCTACTGACCATTTTATTCTTGTTATACAACGGTTGTTCGTTGTGAGAAAATAAAATTTATTTTACTCCGTAGCGGCTCCCGAGGCATTGTTTTCTTTCGCGCATGATCATGAAGTAAGTCATCTTTAAATATCCGAAAGATTATATAATCACACTTGTTCTATTGTATAGAGTGAGTTAATTATGCACAGATATGAAAAGCAATGACACTCACTCTTAACCATAAGACATGTACATCTTGCATAGTTTTTTAATGTATAATTAGCCCGAAGTGAATAAGCTTTAAAATACAGTATGCACCTATGGAGTTCAAAATCTACCCATTAGCCAGAAGCTTCTCTTGGATCATTGGTGTTCGGTTAAGAGATGATCTCACCGAAGAAAGGGAGCCGAAGCTCCGACGAGGGCTTTTGCGGCCTATCCCCATCCTGGAAGGCGAACTCCACAAATGCATTCCATATTTTAATGTGTCGGTATCCGTATGCCTCGCACCCCTAATTTTCCCTATATCTTTTTTTCCCTAAAGAAAGGGAGTGCTCTCTGGAAGTTTTACATATCGGTGATTCCGAGGTCTGGACAAGTACCTGGGTGAAGCCTTTTAAAGACTTGATTAGGTTCAAAACTTTAAAAAACGGTACGCACCTATGAAGTTCAAAATCTCAAAATTCAAAGTATGAAGTTGAATTTTTCTTTTTATAATTTAAGTGTGCGAACATAAAAGCCCGATCATCTGAGGTTTATGGAACATTCTCTAAGATCATGAACTGTTTAAGTCCAAGCTTTTGGTCTCGACTCACAACAGTTTACGCGCTGTCGGTAATATTTGAATGCGTGACCTTTAGGTTTTGAGATGCAGATCTCCCGACACTCGAAAATTTGCTCCGATATTAAAGGGGTAGGGGTTTACGGCTGAACTTTGAAATTTCTGACTTCGACACTTAGATCAGGTTGATGCGCGGTCGTTTGTTTCAAAAGTTTTGAACTTATTAGAGAACGGCGTCCATCATACAGTTGAGAGAGAGAGAGAGAGAGAGAGAAAGGGGGGCGATGTCGGCCAGGTTGGTGGTCTCTCCACGGTCAAACTTCACATAATGATTCGAAGCTAAAAATGAAGATTTTGGCTGCAACAAATGCATATATTATGCCTCGTCAGACAAAAGAAGAACTTGTCTTTTCGATTTCGTGAATAGTAGGATGTGGTTCTCACTCATTAGAAGACAAAGGCATATAAAGGTCCCAGCGACTTTTTGTCAACCTTTGAAAGGCCCAATCACCACCAGTTCCATGGCCGACCTGCGACCGTCTTTTTTCCCTCCTTTCTTCAAACATCGGCTGAAACTGGTTATGGACACAACCGGACAGGGAATATGAAAACCACTCGTCGAAATTCAAATTCTCTTTTTCTGCTGTTGTGCCCGATCCTTTTTCTTGAGATGGGGTTTAAAGGAGGTCAAGAACTGTTGAGTGTTCCACAGGTTTTGAGATTGGCACGACTCTAAATTTACAAACCGAGATGAGGAGCACAGACAAGTCGGTCGAGTTACTCGCGAGTGACTCGAGCTCGACTCTTAGACATATTTCTTCATGGTCAGAGGGTAGAATTAGATTCTTTTCTTCTTGAAAATCCAATCAAATCGAGTCGAACAAAGCTCAGGAGCTACTTAAGCTCTTCATGCAGTGGAGCTGGAGAAATCAAACTAAATCTTGGCTTGCATCCAGTATTTGACTCTTGAACCCTAGTGGGATTTTAGTAGTGCAATATATTGAGTCGGCACAACTCGTTTACAGCCCATCAAGTCAATTTCATTACTTTTGGACCATAAGTATGAAATCACTCATATATATTGACTTATTTCTCTAATTTTTTCTATTCCTCACGCGAGACAAGATTGTCTCAAACGGTTTTCTTCCGTTTGCACACTGTGAGGAAGTAATCATAATTATTTTACATAGTGCCTGGCTTGTTTACGTGTTTTGATTTGGACTTGTTCTCGAACGCATATATCGACCCTTTAGCTTTTATCTCCAGTCTCAATAAGCACTTCACATTACGATAATATCGTGAATTGTTAGACGTATATACTTTATACATGCATTCCATCTTAATAAATCTGATTATATTCAAATATCGGGCAGGTATCACCTTCATGGCATTATATATGTAATGTAGGGTGGCTCTCTTTGCTTTGAAATCAAGATAATCAGGCATATCTTAGGGCGGCTCTCTTTGCTTCAAGTTTTATCATTTATGAAGCTCACAAGTTGAATCTTTCACCCAAGAACCTTTGACTTTGTAGCTTATTTGAGCAAGAGAGAAAAGAATATTTCTGGTCAACGGAACAGTTATTTGTCAACATGCTGATCCTTTCTTTTGGCCAAGAGGGGAACAAGTTGCTGATCCTTTCCGACTGTTCGATTAGCTCTCTCTACGTGCGGAGTATACACGTATATATGACCCTTTCTGATATTTGCGTATCTAGAGTTGAACAGGAGTCAATATTTCGACAACCCTCTTCTTTTTTTCTTTTGCCCAAAAGAAAATTGTAGAACAATACCACAGACGGAGTGCTGTGCACATTTCCATGAGGGCCTACTAAAGTAAGAGAGGAAGATGTCTGTCTCCCTGAAAAGACAGGAGCAAAAAGAAAAAAAAAGAACTTGCTTCATGTAGGTCCTCATTTGAATGTTTTCTCCAGTGACTCATGATCATCATGTTCAACATCAGAAGTGTTTGTTTTTTTTGGTCAGAATTCAACATTAGAAGTTGAATGTGTCAGAAACGAGTTGGGGTTTTTGAATCCCAAGAAAGGTATCGATGATCCTCTTCCATTTCTGTCTGAGCAGTACCAACATCGGAGAAAAAGAGGAAGAAGATTATAATGATTAATCTTCTGCACTTGCTTTGGGTCAACTGATTTAAGTTTTTGATCGTAAAGCTGTGACTATTTCAAGGAAAAGCTAATAATTAATCTTGCAATATCACAAGTTGGTCTAAAAGATGAGCTAACTGACCATCATTAGCAAGAGTCTTTGGGAAGACCCAGAGGAATTCTGGGGTGTGGAGGGGATAAAAGCTTCATAATAACATACCCAAAGAGAGATGGAAAAGAAAGGTTGGAGAGAAATCCGCCAAGAAGTCTTCTTAGAAAAACGATGAAAAAAGTTCAATCATTGACGATCGGGACATATATGTATTGTTTAAATCTCACGCCCTTGCATCCCTACAATGAATCTTTTAAGGAAAAGAGATGAACGGTTTTTCATGGTCTAATGGGACCATTCTCGAGAGTTTTGACTCATGATAGTTCCCAAATTTCGGATAGAATGCAAATTTTCGTGATCACGTTCGTACAGAGAGAGAGAGAGAGAGAGAGAGAGAGAGAGAGAGAGAGAGAGAGAGAGAGAGAGAGAGAGAGAGAGAGAGAGAGAGAGAGAGAGCACCCAGAACCCAATTAGGCCACATTGTTTCTCTCTGTGTTAACTGGTGTTAATTGCTATTCTTAAATCGGTTCTTTCCTCCGTCAAATACATCAAAGTTCTTCACGTCTTCATTCACACAAGATTCTAGTTTCTCACGAAGCTTCCACAAGCGTTCTCTTGGAACTCACATGGGTCGCACTCAGAAGGCAAACATACGATCATCATCACCAACAACAGACATTTATGATTCCACATGAGGAAAGAAGAAAAGCTCAGCGAGTTAACCTGTTGGGAATATCATAGCCGCAATTGTAAAGGAAGACAAATAAAGAAAGAAAGAAAGGAAGAAAGACTACAAGGTAGCACAAGCTACCGCGAAAAAAAGAAATGTACATAAAAGGCCAAACCCAAACCCTAGCTCTTTATCTTTGCTTTGAAAGCCTCCTCCTTCAACTGCTAGCACTAAAATTTATCACTGCATTGCGACTATGTCATGCATGCCCTGTAATTTTCCTCCTTTTTTTTCCCCACCTCTTTTGCTCAATGTATTTTCCAGGAATAATCAATCATGTTCTGGCTATCTAGTATTGAATATCGATCACTTTCGTTTTAGTCCACACACACACAAGCCCTCTTAATCATCTGTCAAATGTCTCGTGTCGTGTCATTGGAGATGTTTAATTTGATTGAGGAAGTTTTTGGAGAATAAAGAAACAAGCAATTGGGGAAACAATCTTAAGAGTAGCTCCATAAGCTTTCCATGTCGGAGTTGTCAGGCGAGTCGTCCGAGGGCGGCGAGCTTATTCTCGGCGGCGACACCATCATTCCCTCTGCCATGTCCACCAACAAATTCGGCATATCGAACAGCGCCTCTTCGTCGATGAATTCGGCTTCCGGTGGTTTCGAGCTTTGTTCGGGATGATGATCTTTCCCAGCCTTGCCCTCATTGCCTTCTTGACCTAACAACGCCGTATCATCGCCGCCGCTCGTTTCCGCCTTCCTCGACGCAGCCGCCGCTGCCGCCGCCCTCCGCACGTCAACCGGCGCACTGGATGCCGGGACTGGGTATGACTTCACCAAGTGCGGGAAGTTGAGGACCGCGTCCCCGCCTTTGAGGGCGAGGGCAGCCACGTCGTAGGCGGTGGCGGCCATCTCCGGGGTGGGGTAGGTGCCCAGCCACACGCGGGTCGTCTTGCGCGGCTCCCGGATCTCCGAAACCCACTTGCCGCTCCGGCACCGGATGCCGCGGTAGAACGGGTGCTTCCCGGCGGAGGTGGCAGAGCCGGAGGGGTTGCTCCTCGGGGACGATCGCTGCAGGTGCCTCGGGGAGGGGGATTTGCCCTTAGGGGATGGGGCTTCGCCTGCATAAGTAGGAAGAGAGTATGGGAATTGGTCCAGCGTGTGTAGTGCAAGAGGAGGAGGGGGCGGCGGCGGCGATGCCGACGGAAGCGGCTGCGGTGGAGGAGGGTCTAGCTCTGGTGGTGATTGGACGACGCGGGCCTCATCTTTAGGAGAACTAGGGTCTGACATATGGATATAATTAAGGTATGAGGAGCGGGAGAGATAGAAAGCGAGAGAGAGAGAGAGAGACGGAGAGGGAGAGGGGGGGACAGAGATTAAGGGAGAGATGACATGGAGAGGGTAGGTCAAGTGAACCAAGGGTATTATATATATATATATATGTTGTTGTTAGTCAAAAAGGGTAATTAAAAAGCGTGGGGAATTCGCGGGACGACCCCCAAATCGTGACGCCCAGTAACTCAGAAAGTTAGTCCAGTCCTCTCCCCCCAGGCTTTTTTGCACATGTCTCATTAGAAATTTATGTCAATTTGAATTTTCTTTAAAGCCGATTTGATTGCGAGTGTTGGGTGTGCGTCTCTCTGTGTGTGGGTTCCTTGTGGGTAATTGGAGGGACGACGCCGAGATAGTGAGCCGCACGCGCATTAAGCACACGAGATCGGATAGGGAGATCGGATTTGATGAGAGGGGATTAGCTGTAATCTACCGGGCATCCATTTGGGGTTTCTTTCGATCGACCTCTTTGTATTATGATTGCAATATGCGATTATCTTATAGTATTAATTTCTCCTCTTATCTCGTACGAACCCACGGTTTTCTGGTGTGTTTATACAGTGAGAACAAGATGTGGTTTTGTGAAATTCTTGGTGGGTGTTTGGTGACTAAAGCGTAATGGTGGTACCCCGCTAGGGTCATCTTGGCAGCTTGGCTTCTTTCCATGTGGTGTCCAGAATTTGTCAACTCAATCAATACCAAAGACAAGGAAAGGTAAAGGGTAAATCCATCATCGTATAGGGAAGACTAATTCCTACTCTCTCTCTCTCTCTCTCTCTCTCTCGGAGTAAATTGTGGATTGAATTTACTGGCAAGCATAATTCAGTTGATGTTGTTGCTCTTGTACGAGAGAGAGGGAGGGAGGGAGAGGCGTCGTCGTTGATGATGGTCATCGGAGGAGTCAATGGAGGCCACATCGAAGAAATGACTCAACATAAAAGAAATTAAGATATTCTAATCCTGGCTAAAAATCTCTATGTGAGTATGATTTGATCGGCATTTCACCACTAACCACGACTCATCCGTTGATTCTTTAACGTCGGTCGGTTGTGTCCTTTTACATGGAAATCAAAAGATATGGGGATGATTCCTTGACACGAATTGATAAGTATTTGATCTCAAGTACACAAATTAGTAGGTACGAGAGGATTAATGTTGGGTCCTCTGAGGAACAATTGATTGATTTACCCATCCAAAGCAATTCTCCCGAATGACCATCTTTAACGGAATACATCATTTCTTGCTACGAAGCCTGCAAAGGAGTCGTGGATTCATGGTGGCCATTTAAAAGGCATTCATAATCGCTCACAACATTCATAACTACAACATGTCATGACATAATCACACTACTTCTGCAATTGTGATTGTGAATTACCATAATAAAGTATGCTTATTACTTATCTTAGAGCATGGACATGATTGATTGGTCACTTCATAAATTGTGAAGACAGACAATCATTGATTAAGTACCACTTGCGAAAGAAAACGAGTATCCCATTAGTGGCGAATGAATGAAAATCACAAAATTCTTTAATGGCCGGATCATCTTGATCATGTTTATATAATCCCATGATCGACGATCCCTCTCTTACCTCATGCTTATTGGTTCATTTCGACGGTTTTTTTTCTCTGTTCCTAGGGCAAACTCGGGCTAGGCTTCAAAGAACTAGGCCGGTTATGTGTTGGCAACCAAACAATCGAGTTTGGGGGCTATCTTTCTTGCGTAAATTGATCATAAGCACATGCATCAGCACAGACATGTCAAGACAAGCTTGAACAGTGTCCCTTCCTTGCCCTTCATGTGAAGATCCAATGCAATGATGAGTGGGAATCGAGGCACACCCACGATATTAAACTCCATCCAGGTCAAGATATTCCCCGAATGAGCATGGCTTGGTCATCAAGGGACCGGAAGAACTGGGAAAGAAAATCATATTCTGGGGAATATAGTCTCTCCAAACGCGCCCCAATGTGCTAAACATGGAGCCTGGTCAATGCATCACATGATTGAGCTCGAGACTAAACATGTGTACATTGATGGTTGGGTGTTTTGATAGCAAGAAGTAGGTTAGGGCCCGAGCAAAACCCATGAACTATTTTGTTTGACTAGAGACTATGATGTGGCACTCAATCACCACATGATGTTGCTTAAAAGAACTAGCTTAGTCCTAACTCCTAACTATAGCAACTGCTTTTGGGTCCACTCTCTTGCGCCCATCGAATCACCTACTCAACCCAAAAACCCGCATCTTGACTTCTGCCTTTTGTTTCGATCCTTGAGGAGAGAAGGGAAAACGAGAAAGGGAAGAATAGTTGAGATGGCCTGAGTATAACTCGCCCTTTTACCTTGACTATATATTCGAATCGAGCGAAATTTACCCTATTTTAAAGAATAATGTTCATGAAGCGAGATCCTTTAATTGTTTGTGGAGGGGTAAACCGAGCTTATGTCTCTTGATGCCCATCAATATCACAATGCATTATGCACGAACGCATCTCGAATTGTTCATGTATTGTATTCACAACATTGAAGCATCAACACCGAGTCGCACTGGAGGACTCTTAATGCAAGACGTTAGTGAAATAAAAATTTAGGAACATGCATGCTACAAGACAAATTTAAGCTTAAAATAGACGTTAACTAATTAGCCAAAAAGCTAATTAGCTCATATAGGGTATTGGTCCGGGCCTCTAGTTTGGAGCAAAGTGCGGCCCAACTCACCCTAAACACATCCCCAAGTGTGTAGTTAGGGGGACTTAGAGTCCACCTTTTGTCGAGTCTTGGGAGGTTAACCACATAATAACTCAATATAAATATAATATGGCGGCTTCAGTAGTCTTATAGTCTTATACTATAGGTAGCTAGATGCTTGATGATGGTCCTACTACGAGCCTTTCTAGGGTTAGAAAACCCATGGCGACACGGCGATCGAATTAGAATATGGTCTATTGAAATCTTTGTCGATTAGGTACACGTATCTCATATTTATGATATAGATTTATTTAATGTGCCTAATCATCTAAGATGAACCTAGAAGTCACCTTTGCCACTATACAGTTTTGATTATTTTGGCGGTCCATGCAGGGCATAGTGTTGATATGCCTTGACTTCTTAAGGGAGACAAGAAGCCTCAGCAATGTAGCCCAGCCCCATTATTATGTAGCCCTCCTGTTTTTCAAGTCTTGTAATTGGGTCAAACCTTTGACTTTGAGCGAAGCAATGAGAGAGGCCTCTAGTCTCAATCATGATGAGGGGTTTGTCTCTTGAAGTATTTTACTGGGTCAATTGACACAATGGGCTTCTATAATATTTCTTAGATGCTGGGTTAATGTTTTAGGCCTTGTAAGATTGCCCCTCGTCCTACTAATTAGGCCTAATCATGGCTTGGTGGCCCGTTTTGGCCCGGCGGTCAAATAGGCGTAAACCCGATCCGACTGGCTTAATAAGTAGCACGCAGGGTAATCTCGGTCCGGTTCGGGTCACAAAGTTAGGTCGAACAGCATGATCAGCTCAGTACGGTCTTGTTTAGTTTGGTCCGGTCCGGTCCGATCATCCATAATCAACTAAAAAGGAGGGGAGAAAAGTTAAACACCATCCATCTAGATATCTTCTAGGATATGTTGCGTAAAAGTCCTTACGAATTTGATTAGCGCTTGATATATGAAAGAGCCCACGCGATGCCTTTGTGAGTGGTAGCCGCACCAAAAGCTAGATAATCCAACTCTTGATCAAAAGTTCTCATATTATAATCAACGAGAAACGGTACCGAGGCGTATCACCTGGCTAATATGTGCTGTACTCCACGGCACGTTCTGCATGATCAAATATGTTTGTCAATCTAGTGGCAACACGTGTATGCCCCCGTTTGTTTTGAAGGGGATAATGATGTTTCAAGGCATATAAACTAGCATTTCATATGTTCTACCAAACCGATGGACCTATCGTGATTAAATTTCATTATTCTCTGCAAACAAAAAGGAAGGACGAGTGCACTAAAACTCACAGACATTCTCAACTTGTTTAGCATGTCCTGTTGAGATTAGATTAGACATATAGTTTAGTACATCCTCTTAGTGCTGTCAAAGGGGCGAATCGTGCGACGGGCGTTTCTTCTGTCCATGCAATAATTCCGAACGAACATAGTTAGGTAAGTCTCGTATCGTGCACTTGATTTTACTACTAAAAAATTAGTATTATATAGCATGCCACTGTCTTGCACCTTTTGTTCCACTTTCTGCTATTCCGTTCCTATAGCGTGAGACCACTATAACTAGGGTTTACCGAATAATGTTATCTTCACTATTTAATTATATTTACAGAAAAAGGGCAATAAAATAAAGTATATTTCTTTGCGGTGGAGTCATGGCACGTTTAGTTTGGTATTGAAATGACGTGCAATTTGAATTCTATTGCAAATTCATGTTTCTTTTTTTTTTTTCATTTCCGTAAAATAAAGATCGATTCTCTTCTACCCTAAATAGAAAGAGATGGTATTAAATTATGCCGGAGGTGAACGAGCAGCCACACTTAGTGGGTACTTTGGGAAAGAAATCATGCGGATTAGCTTAGGGACTAAGTGCTGAAAATATCTTAACTAGGAATCCCTATGAAGTAGAAGGAGCAACTTTCGAGAAATTATGAATCTGGCCATAATTTTGGGAGAGATTTTCATTTTGGCCCTAAAATTATTCAATCGTTCTCGATTCTTTTGTTCCTCATTCAATGTATATCTAATTTTTTTTTTTGGTCCTAGTCTTTTCCTTTATGTAAATGTGTGTGCAGTGCTTACAGGGATTGAACCCCGGACCCAAAGCTCTCCGGCTCCACCCCCGACCCCTTTATTAGTAGGTCGCATGCCTGTTGACAACGGTTTTCTAATTTAGGAGCGCAACAATACGAGTTTTTCTTCTTTTGCAAGGTAATTGAAGATTGCAAGGATGTAGCTTTATTTTGTACTTTCTTAAAAAATTTAACAAACTCTGGAGTCGGCAAAGTGGTCGAACCCTAGTATCTACTACTATGAGTAAACTTGCGGACCGCGCCAGCTACCACATGAGCGGAACCTTTATTT